ACACACACTCACACACACACACACACGTGCACACACTCAATTCACATCAGACACACACACACACACACACACACACACACACACACACGCCGGTGGAGCCGGGATTCCCGCACGCACAGGGCAGGCCGCCTGGCACCGAGGCCCCCGCCTCCCCGGCCTCGGTTCTCACGGAGAGTATCTGGGTCAGTGCAGGGGCCTCCCCGGCAATCCCGCAGGGGCCCTGGTCAGACAGCCGGCGGTGGCTCCGGTCCAGGATTCCCAGACCTGCCCTCAGTCTGTCTGTCTGTCCGCTCCTTCCCGCCGGGCATGGGGGGAGGGCGCCGGACCGTGCAGCCTGAGCCGGGCCCATGTGGAGCCTGTGACGGGAGGGACCTGTGTGCCTTCTGGGTTTGCCCCACACCGGCCGGCCGGCTGGCCACGTGCTGCTCTCCTGCCGGGCCCCGGGGCTCGGGGCGGGGGGCAGGTGGCCCCCCAGGCTGGGCGGGAGGCCCCGGGTCCCAGTGGGTGCTGAGAGCCCCACCCATGGCTTCTCCCACGCCCGCCAGGGCGGGGCGGGGCGGGTGACTCAGTGCGGCCTCTGTGAGTCAGGGAGCTGAACCCTGGAGCCAGCCTCCACCAGGCGTCCGGCCCTGGCACCTCCGCGCCCCCCCCACCGCCCGGCGCCCACCGGGGCCCCGCCTACCTCGGGCCGCCCTGGGGACCCCGTCGGGCTCGGCGGTGCCGTTGTGCCGGGGCTGCTGGCCGAGCTGCAGGAGGCGGGCGCGGACCTGCTCCTGAACCCGGGCAGCTCGCAGGCGCTCGGCCTCGGGCCCCTCGGCGCCCCGGCGGTCCAGCTGCAGGTCCGAGGGCAGCGCCAGGGAGCACACGCCGGCCTCCGGCTGCAGGGCCGACAGCAGGAAGTTACCGTCCTGCATGGCGGCGGGCGCGGGGGCGCTGGGGCTGCGGGGTCTGGGCCGCCGAGGCCGCCTCCAGCCCCAAGTGTCTTCGCGTCTCGTCCCGAGCCGCCCTGTCCCCGGAGTCCCCTCCCCGCGGCCTCACCCAGACGGAGCCGCCCAGCCCCGCGGGGGGCGGGGACACCTGGCCAGGTGGAGGAGGGCCCGCCCGCCATTCTGCGGAAGAACCGGCCCTGGTGGCCCCGGCCGCCCCTCCTCCAGCCCATCCTGGCCCGATCTGCCCCTCGGTAAACGCTCTCCAGGCTGGGGGGCAGGGGCTCAGCAGGCCCCTATGTGTGGCCGCCGCTCCGGGGGCGGGCTGTCCCGGGAGGGGGGGCTCCAGCTCCAGGGCCCAACCCTGAGGCCGAGGGCCTAGGCAGGGCTGGCATTAGGAGTCACCGTCAGGGCCGGCCAGGGCCGAGGTTGGGGTTCAGGGCGGGGGGCAGGTGGCCCCGAGGCTTGGGAGGAGCTGGGGTGGAAGGGGCCGGTGGAGCCCTGGCCGCAAGGCCCCGGAGGCTCTCCCTGGGGGTGGCCCTCCAGACCGGGGTCCCTGGATGCTGGAAGCCACCTCCAGCCCCTCCCCCACACACTTCAGAGGCCTGGGGCCGGCCGGGCACCCCTCCACGCTCTGCCCCCCAGGCTGTGGGGGCGGGAAGCCATTTCCAACCCGTGAGTCAGTCCATCAGGCTCCGCAGGGCAGTGAGTGATGGACAGGCAGGCGGGGCGCCCCGGGGAGCTGACTCAGAGGGGCCCTCCTCCCAGCCTCCCCTGGGAAGCCAGGAGTCCCACCGAGCCCCAATCAGCGGTGTCGGGGTTGGGGGGCCGGCCCGGCGGGTCTCTCTGAGTCCCTCCCCGCTGGACAGGCATCTCCAAGGCCGGCCCGGGGAGGCCTGGCTGCGGTCCAGCAGGGGCCCCGGTACCCTGAGTGAGAATGGGGGCGGGCAGAGGCCTCACATACCTCCTGCCTCTCCTAGCAAAGCCTGGAGGCCCCCTCTACCCCAGCCTCTCTCCCTCGAGCCTGCTCCAGCCCCAGGCCCCCCTTTCAATGTAGAACCCCCCCCCCCGAGACATTGCCTGAACCTGCAGGGGTCCTGGCAGGCCTGGGTCCCAGGTGGGACGGGGGGGGGGGGGGGGGACAGGGACTGGGGGACCAGCGGGAGGTCAGTGTGTGGGGGAGGCAGTGGGGGGGACAGTGGGTCCTGGAGAGGTCAGGGCAGAGGCTGGGGGGGGCTCCGGCTGGGGGGCGGCGGGAACGGGACACCTACCCTGGCAGTGGGGCTGCGGCGGGGCCCTCGGCTCATCCCGGCGGCCGCGGGCTGAGGGGCGCCCGGCTGCATCCCAGGCCCAGCGGCTGGTCCCCGGAGCTCCCTGTGGGCTGCGTGTGGGGGCACGGAGGGCGGGGTGGCAGCGCCCGCGCCCAGCTCATCCGACCGGTTGCTGTCCTGGGAGACGTGTTTTGTGTGGAAAAATCCTGGGAGACAAGTCGGTGCGGCGCTGAGTGCACCCGGAGGGCTCGCACGCCCGGGCACGGCCAGGCCCGCCCCCGGGTCCGCCTGCTCCCAGCGTCTCACCGGTCCCTGGGCCTGGCCTCCCGGGCCTGGCCGGCCTCCCCGGGCCCTGGCCGCCCGGCTGGCCAGCTTGTAAGGAGAGGCTTGGGTGGCTGGGGCTTGGTGGGGTTCCTGCCATGGGGGGCGGAAGAGGGGGTGCAGGGTCCCGGGCCGTTTCGGGGAAGCTTCCACTCGCTTGGCCGAATGGGGCCTCCCTGCGGCCATGTGCCCCCGACGTGGGGGCCGCGGGGTCCCGGGATAGCCTGGGCCGGGGCACATGGGCTCACTTTCTCTAGTTGCAGAGCCCGTGGGACTGGCCGTGCCTGGACCCGTCCCCTCTGCGCTCGCCCCAGGCTGGGGCCCCTCGGACCCGGGACCGGCTCGGTTCGGCCTCGCTCCCAGGCCCTGTGTGGGGTGAGCACCGGGGGTCGCGGTGGGCAGGCTGCCGGAGGGGGCAGGTCTGGGCAGCGGGAGGAGGAGTCCCGGGGCTCAGAAACAGACAGGGGGGCCGCGGAGGGATGGGCTCCGGCCCGCAGGTCACCCCTCCCGGAGGGACCACACCTGGAGCTGAGGGCCGGAAGGAAGGGTGAGTGAGCGGCTCTGAGGGGGGCGGCGGCTGGGGCGCTGGGCGGGGGGCCTTCTCCCGAGGGCAGAAAGGAGGGGCTGGGGGAAAGAATGGGGGGGAGCCAGACCCTGGAAAGGGGGGGATGGAGGAGGAGCCTGGAGCGGCGTGGTGACGTGAGCTGGGGGCGGGAGGCTGACGGGGTGTTAGGAGCAGAAGGTGGGGAGCTGAGATGTTAGACATCAGCAGGAAAACCGCGTTCGGAAGGAAACTCAGGAGTGCAGGCGGGGGTGGGGCGGGGTCAGCGCAGCCCCTGGGAGCTGCCGGGCTGGGTTTGGGGTGCAGCTTGCCCCCCAGAGGTGCGGCGTCCATGGGCTCTGGGCCCCGAACCTGGGGATCCGGGGGCTTGTGCCGCACCCACGCTCCCAAACCTCCCAGATGTGCCCTCCTCGGCCGTTTGGGCTCCAAGGCCAGCCCAGTCCCGCCTCCTCCAGGAAGCCTGCCTGGATTTCCGCCCTGGGCCGGCCCCTAAGCCCCCGTGGCCTGGGTGGGGCCCCCCCACCTTCTCCCTGGGCCTGTGGTGAGGAAAGTCCTAATAGGCCCCAGGTGGGCCCTCCCCCCTCCCCCCTCCGCCCATCCCAGCCCTCCCTGTGCGCCCGGCTCGCCCCTGGGGGAGATGAGTGGCCTGATAGGTGCAGCCCCCATGGAGCCCCCAGTTGGGATTTGCTGGGGGAACGGGGGGGGGGGCTGGCCCCCAAGCAGTGACGCCTGTCAGGATGGCGGGGCAGCCGGGAGCCTCTGGGACACTTTAACTGCTCTCAAGGCGGAGGGAGCAGCTGGGGGGGCCCAGCAGGAGCCCCGTCTGCACGGGGACCCCCAAATGCCTGGAGGCAGGAGGAGCAATGGAGCTCTGGGTGCTTCTCCGCGGGTGTGGCTGTTCGATCTGTTTCCAAGGAGCACCAGCCTCAGCGGGGAGGGAAGGGGGGGAAGCGGAGACGGGGCGGGGGGGGGGAGAGGGAGGGGGCTCGGACAGGTCCCCGGCCCAGCAGGGTCCCCTGTCCTGGAGGAGTGGAAGTCGATGCCACCCCGTCAGAGTCCCGAGGGAGCAGGTGCTGAGGGTGGGCAGCCACGGTGCACAAGGCAGGGGCTGAAAGGGCCACGCTCGGTCCTTAATCCTCACAGGCCGGCCAAGTGTGACGCCTCCCTTTTCTCTTCTCTCTAAAATCCTCACCCGAGGACATTTCCCATGGATTTATGGAGAGTGGAAGAGAGGGAGAGACAGAGAGAAACACCGATATGAGAGAAACACATCCATGGGCTGCCTCCTGCAGGCGCCCCGACCAGGGCCCGGGCAGGGGAGGAGTCTGCAGCCAGGGTACATGCCCTTGACGGAATCGAACCCGGGACCCTTCGGCCTGCAGGCCAAGACTCTATCCACCAAGCACACTGGTGAGGGCCCGTGGCTTTGCAGAGAGAGGGAGAGAGGATGTTGAGGCCCCTCCCCGCCAGGCCAAGCCCGGAGCTCGGAGGGGGAGGATGCGAGGGGGCGCGGCTGTGGGGTGGAAGGTGGGGTCGCGTGGCCACGGCGGCCTGGGGCTGGAGAGGCCACCGGAGCAGGGCAGGGCGGCCCCCGGCGCAGAGAGCCAGACAGAGGACCCGTCAGAACTCAAAAAATATTTCATTTCATTCTGAATAAAAAACGGACGGACGGACTGAACCCTTGGGAATCCTGACAACACTGGCATCGCTACGGCAAAATTTCACAGAAATCATCGCACAGAGTGTGGGGCCGGCGGCCCGGCCTGCTCACTCACTGCCCCGGAGGCCTCTCTGGGGAGGGCACGGGGGCGGCGGCCCGGGGGGCAGAGAGGGGCAGGCACGGGGGCAGCGCCCGGTGGTGAGGCCCTGGGTCCCAGAAACCAGGCTCAGGGCTGCAGCAGCGACGGCGGGCGTCCTTCCTCAAGCTCCCTCCGCCTGGGAGCCCTTCTGGCCACGGCCACGGCCTCGGCCACGGCCACGGCCACGCGTGGCCCACATGCCCCGCCGGGAGTGGTAGTGGTGGAAGAAGTTCCGCAGGCGCAGCCGCTCCACCTCCAGCCCTGCCTGCAGGACCCTGGGCGGAGACGGGGGTCAGGGCTGGGGGGGGGTCGGGGCTGGGGGGCAGGGCTGTGGGGTCGCAGCTGGGGGGCGTCGGGGCTGGGGGGGGGTCAGGGCTGTGGTGGGCGGGGCTGGGGCGGGGCTAGGGGCCGGGGCTGTGGTGGGCGGGGCTGGGGGCGGGGCTGGGTGCTGGCTCCCTGCCGGCCCGCAGGTCCTGGGTGAGGGCGGAGGGTGGGGTCACCTGTCCAGGAGCTCCCAGTCCTCGCCGCCCCACTGGTCCCGGAACTCCTGGGTGTTCATGCCTCCGACGCGGTCGAAGTCCGACTTGTAGATGCCGAAGAGGCCGAAGCCGTTCACCTCCCAGTACCCTGGGCGGGGGGAGCCCTCAGGCCCGGCCCGGCGGCTCCCCAGACCTGGGGGCTCCCGTCCCCCCTGCGCTGGCCGTGACCTGGGAGCCCTGCACTCGGCGGAGTGCTGGCGGCTGGGGGAGAGCCTGGGCGCCTTGGGGGGGGGGGGGTCCCACACACTGTGGGGCTTCACGGGGCCTCGAGGGGACCCCGGCCGGCCTCGGGGTGGGAGAGCCCGGCTGGACCCTGGGGCTGGCGGGCGGCGTTACCGTGCGGGTCGGCGGGCGAGCTCCCGCAGCCCAGGCGCATGACCACCGGCGCGAAGGCCAGCCGGCCCTCCACGCAGTGCTTGCGCACGGCGTCCAGGATGCCGGGCGGGAAGTGGATGTGCAGGTCGCAGAGGAACACGATGCTGCTGGCGTCCTGGGGGAGGGGGGGGTCAGGGAGCTGCCCCGGGGAGGCCCCTCCTTCCTGCGCCCCCATCCCTCCCCCCACCCCATCCCGCTTCACCCACCTCCACGGCGTCCACTCCGGCCTGCAGCCCCGCTGAGCGCTCGAAGTTCCCGGCTCGCCTCAGGTACTGGTACCTGGGGGGTGGGGGTAGGTGTGATTCCGGGGGCACCTGCCTGGAAGGAAGCCGCGCGGGGGCAGGATGGGGTGGGTGCGGGGGCGGTACCGGGGCAGCCCCGCGGTGCGCAGCGCCCGCGCCACGTCCATGTCCTGGCTCTCGAAGTCCACGAGGACGACGCTGAAGTGCGAGTCCCCGGTGCGTGCGTGCAGCGCCGCCATGTCCGCCAGGAACCGGGCCACCCAGCGCGCCTGGTTCTTCACTGGGGGGAGGGGGGGCGTTCCAGCGCCGGCACTCCCTCCCCAAGCCCACCGCGTGCCCCCCGGACCAGCGGCTCCCTGCCCTGCCCACGAGACCTCGAGCGCCCCCACCACCCAAACCAGTGCCTCCCCGCACCCCGCGCGCCCCCGGCACCCTGCTCTCCTGCGCCCCGCTCCCCCCTCCCCCCGCACCCGCGCGCCCCCGGCTCCCCGCTCCCCGGCATCCCGCTTCCCCCGTGCACCGGCCCCCCGCGCCCCCGCGCACCGGGCACGATGAAGTGAACCGTCACGTCCTGGCGCCAGGCCAGGCGCAGGGGCCGGCAGAGCTCGGGGAGGCCGTCGGGGCGCGCGGAGGCGGCGGGGGCGGCGGACCGGGCAGCGGCCGTGGGCTCGGGGCTCTCCTCCTCCCAGTCGGGGTCCCCGGCGCGGGCGCCCGGCAGCCGCAGGAAGACGAACTCGGACAGGCGGCGGCGGCCGGCCCCGCGCTCCTGCAGCTCCAGCTCCAGCAGGAAGCGGCTGCCGCGCGCCGAGTCCCGGCGCTTCTCCACGTTCACGATCCGCAGGAGCGCGAACCGCCTGCGGGCGGGGGTCAGCCCGGGGTCAGCCCGCTCCGCTCTGCGTCCGCCCCCGCCCCCCAAGGAGGGCCGCCTGTGCCCCCACATCGCACCCCGCAGTCCCCGCCCCGGTCTGTCCACTCCGCCTCCGGGTCCTCCCCACGCGCCAGAGCGCCAGGGCACCCTCCCCTCCCCACGCAGGATCAGGCCCGGCGTCTGACGCTGCGGCCTAGGACGTCTCCAGCCCGAGGCCTCAGGACCCCGGCTGCAGAGCAGACGTCCTTTTCCCACGGGTCCTGGTCCTGGGGTCCCTCTGGCCAGCTTGCCCCTCCTTCCACTCCCGAGAAGCCGCCGGGACCTCCCTGGCACTAGGGCAGGGGCTGCCCTGGTCCCGGAGGGAAGAAGCCAGTGGGCCTGCCCCCAGACCCTCCCCTTCCATCCTCCCTGCTGAGCCCGTTTCCTGCCCTCCACTCTGCCCCCACCCAAAAAATATTATTGATGTCAGAGAGGAAGGGAGAGGGCGAGAGAGAGGAACATCGATGGTGAGAATCACTGATCAGCTGCCTCTGCCTCCTGCACGCCCTACCCTGGGGATGGAGCCACAGCCGGGCATGTGTCCTGACCGGGAATCAAACTGTGACCTCCTGGTGCCTAGGCTGGCACCGGGCACCCACTCTGCCCTCACGTTCCCTGCCTGTGGCAGAGGCTCCTCAGGTCCTGGGAAAACAGGACCCGCCCCTCCACCCTCTGCGCCCCCTCCGCGCCGTGCCCGCCCCCTGCCCGCCCACCCGGCGTGGCGCGCGTGCAGCCGCTCCATGTACTGGGCCACCACGTCCACGGCCTCGGCCTCGGGCAGCTGCAGGTTCCCGGACACGTTGCAGCGCAGGTCATTCCAGTCGGAGCGCAGCAGCTCGAAGTCCACAGCGCCCACGCTGAACGTGCGCTGCCAGTCGATGGCCTCCTCGCGCCAGCGGCCCGCGGCCTCCTGGCTGTCCTCCTGGCCGTCCTCCTGGCTGTCTTCCGGGGCCTCGTCCTCCCCCTCCTCCTCCTCCTGCCCCCCGGGCGGCCGTGGCCCGGCCACCGGGGAGAAGTTCAGGAAGGCGGGAGCCGGGCGCGCCTCCGGGGGCGCATGCGAGTCCTCGGCAGGGGCCGTGGGTCCAAGCGGTGGTGCCCGGCTGCCGGGCGAGGCCGGCGCCCCGGCAGGCGGCTTGGGCTCCGTGGCCCGCGGGCCGCTGGTCCTGTGGCCTCCGGTCCGAGGCGGAGGCCAGGGAGGGCGGGGGGGCGCCCGCAGCCGCACGCGGGGCCGCGGCCGGGGGCGCGGGAGGAGGCCGGGGAAGCGCGGCCAGGGCGCACGGCCTGCACCCAGAGGCGCCGGGGTCCGAGTAGGCGCCCGCGGGCCCGGCCGCACCCGCGTCACGTAGACCTTGGGGGGCGGCCGCGCGGCGGGGCGCGGGGGCGGACGGCCCAGGAGCAGGGGCCGCGGGGGGGTCCGAGGGGCCCAGCGGAGCACGCGGGAGCGCCGGGCGGCGGAGCGCTCCATGAGGGGCGGCGTGGGTGCGGCGGGCGCGGCTCCGGCCTCGGAGGGGGGCGCAGGGCTCGGGGGCGCAGGAGTGCGGGGTGCAGGGCTGGGGGGGCGGCGGCTCTGCACCGGGGACCCCTCCGTGGGCTCCAGACTGGTGAGCAGCTCCCCCTCCTCCTCTTCCTCCAGGAAGTCTGCGGAGAGCGGGCTTCAGCCGGCCCCCGCGGGGCACGGGGTGTGGAGGGGGCACCGGGGTGTGGGTGGGACCCCGGGGCGCGCACAGGGGGACCCTCACCCTCCGGGCTGAGGAACAGGAAGGCTCGGCGCTGCGCCTGCTCCGTGTCCGGCCCCGCCTCCTCCCGGTCCATCTTCATGTACTTGTAGAATCCGAACCTGGGCGGGCGCAGAGGGTCAGAGGCTCCCGAGGGGCGCCCTCCCCGCGCCCGCACCCACCTCCCCGGCGGCACCCACCCTCCCAGGCACCCGCTCTCCCAGAGGCACCCACCTCTCCAGGTAGAGCGGGGACTCGCGGTAGAAGCACTTGTTTTCCGTCTCCATGTGCGTGAGGCGCGTGTGGTCGTTGGGGTAGACGAAGGGCAGGTATACCTGGGTGCGGGGACAGGGCTGAGGGCGGGGCGGGGGGCAGGCCGGGCAGGACAGCCTGGGGGGCAGGGCAGCCTGGGGGGCAGCCTGGGGTGCGGGGGGCACTTACAAACTGCAGGCCCTGGTAGCGGGCGATGGGGAAGTCCTTGACCACGTAGGTGGGCGCGTAGGCGCACGGCTCCAGCACGTCCTCCAGGCGCGCGGGCTCCACGCGAGGCGCTGCGGGGGAGCGGGTCACAGCGCCGGCCCGGACCCCCTCCCCCCCAGCCCTCCTCCTCCTCCCCCGCCCCCTCACTGAGGAAGAAGGTGTCCCGCGGGTCCGGCCGCAGCATGTCGGCTCTGGGTTCCTCGGGCGGCGGGCGCCCCCCCACGTGGCTGGCTGGGGACTGCGGAACATGGGCCACGTGGTCCATCTTCAGGGAGGACTCATCTGGGGGCGGAGGGATGTGTGGGGTCCCCATCACCCTCCCTGCCCGCACCCAGAGGCCCCAGAGGCCGCCCCTTCCCCGCGGCCCACGCACCTGTGTACAGCGAGATGTGGGCGGGCCCTATGACCTCGAACCTCAGGCCAGGCAGGAAGGCGCGCCACTGGGGGGAGAGGGTGGTCAGGGCGGAGGGCGGGGAGGGGACATGACTCAGTCAGCGAGGAGGGGCTTCCTGATGGGGCAGCTCTCAGGCGGGTGGGAGAAGGGTCCTGGGAAGGGGCAGGGAAGCTGGGGTGACCCAGAAGGGGGGCCTGGCACAGCTCCCTCACCTCTGACCGTGGTTCCGCCCGCCCCCCCTGCAGCCACTGCTCCCTGGGCGCCATGCTGCCCCCCCACCCCCAGCTGCTCCTCAGGCTCCTTTGCAGACCCTGTCTCTCCCCCTCCTCTCAAGTTGGGGTTCCTGGGGGCTGTCCTGGGCCCTCTCCCCTTCCCAGCTCACCCTGGGCCCTGTCAACTACCCTCCCCCCCCAGTTCCTGCAGTCACCCCAACCTGTGTCTCAGCCTGGACCCTCTGCCAGCTGAGCTTGGGGGATACCCACCCCATACACCTGCCACATCCCGGAGCTGGGTGGGGCGCCCTGGTTCCCCCAGGTCACTGGCCCCCACTCAGGTCATCTCAGCCAGCGTCCTGCCCCCCCTTCACCCCCACCTTCCCGACAAGGGACGCAGGGTCCCTCACAAGTGTGTTTCCCCCCCGCCCGCCCCCCCCCCGCTGTCTGCAGCTGTGCAGGGCTGGGTGCTCCGGGGGCTCCTGGTGCACTCCCCCATCCTCTCCCCACGGGGTCCCCCCTCGCCAGGCTTTCCCCTTCCCATGGCCACGGGCTCCAGGCAGCCTCCCCGCAGCGCTGCCCGCCGGGTCCCTGAGGGGCCGCCCGCCACCTAGACAGGAAGCTCAGTCATCGGCCCCTGGTGGGGAGTGGTCAGAGGGGAGCGGGGGTAGGCGGGGGGCGGGAGGGGGGCGCACTCACACCCACTTCCACGTGGTCGGAGCCCCGGTCGTCCTGCTTGTGCAGCAGCTCGAAGTAGTACCTCCGGGAGGCCATGAGCCTGGGGACAGGGGGGTCAGGCCGGGCCCGCGGCCCCAGGAGCCGGGGGGATGGGGCGGGGGCGCAGGCCCTGTTTTGGGGTGGCGGGGCCGCCAGATGCAGCGTGAAGTCACCCAGGCCCTCCTGCACACGCGTGCGCTCGCACTCCCAGCCACTCACCGGCGGGGCTTGGACGTCTGGGAGCTGAACTTGGTGAACTCTCCGGGCGCCGTCCACTCTGAGCCGGTCTGGGGGTGACATGGGGAGTGAAGGGGGTCCCCTATCCTTGGGAGCCCCAGCCCCACCCATCCCATCCCTAAGAAGCTGCAGGAGACTGACGGAGGCCACAGGACGCCAGGGGAGGGGGGTTGGAGGCAGGTGTGGGTGGAGGGCGGGGTTGGGGTCAGCGGGGGGCGGGCAGGGGGGGTACCTTGCCCACAAAGGCCACCAGCTGGGCGCCCGCCGGGCTCTCATTGGGGCTCAGCCAGAACTCGGAGTTGTCGTCGGAAGCCACGGAGAACTGGACGTCTCCTAGAGCGCAGGCCGGGAATCAGGAGCGTGGGCCTTTGGGGTGCCCCGCCCCCCTCCCTGCCCCGCCCCCCACACCCCTAACCCCGGCCCCGCCCCGCCCCGTCTCTGGCCCCGCCCCGCACCCCACACCCCACACCCCGGCCCGGCCCCCGCACCGTCTCTGGCCCCGCCCCACACCCCACACCCCTAACCCCGACCCGGCCCCGCACCGTCTCTGGCCCCGCCCCGCACCCCACACCCCTAACCCCGGCCCGGCCCCGCACCGTCTCTGGCGGGGTGCAGGAAGCCGAAGATCCGGAGCCCGTAGTTCTTCCACTTGGGGGACACGGCCAGCTTCTGCACCGTGGTGCGCGTCTGGGGGTAGCGGCCTCGGGTCAATGCCCCCTCAGCCCCGGGGCCGCTGTCCCCCCCCCCCCCCGCACTCACGTGAGGGAACAGCGGGAAGTGCAGGTTCCTCCTCAGGTGGCCCACGGCGCCCCCGCACCAGTCCTCGAACACGTGCAGGTTCACCTGCCCTTTGTACTGGGGGAGGGTCTCACGTTCCACACAGCCCCCCGCCGCCCCCTCTACCCCCCTGCCCCCACCCACTGCCCCCCACCGCCCCCGCCCCGCCCACTGCAGGCTGCGGAGCTCACCTCCTCCCGCCAGGGGGGCGCCTGATGGGTGAGGTTCAGGGGGGGCGGCCTTCCCGCTGCCCCGGGAAACAGTGGGTTCAGGTCCTGGCTGCTGGGCTGCAGGAGAAGGGGCCCCGGGTCCGAGCTGCGACTGTCTCCTCACCTCGGCCCACGGAGTCGGCCCACCTGAGCCCCCCTCTGGCCACGTGGGGCTGCACCCTCCCCGCCCACAGCCCACAGCGCGGGACCGGGCGCCGCCAGGCCCTCACCGCCGGCTCCTCCTCGCGGCTCTCGCTGGAGTCCTCGGCCCTCTGCGTGGACAGAGCCGCCCGGGCCCCACGGCCGTCCGTCACGCTGCTCGGCTTCTCGCCGTCTGTGGGGGCACAGGGGTGCGGCCGGGCGGGCTTTCTCCAAGGCTGCAGCCCTGCCGCTGGGGCCCGGCACCCCGTCCACGGGGCCCGGCCAGGGCAGGAAGGCCGGAGTCTCCTGCTGGGGCCCTTATGGTCCCGTCTACCAGCTGCCCCCCTCCACGGGGACGAGCTGGGTGCTAGTCCCACATCCCCCGGGGGAGGGGGGGCCTCTGCCCGGCTTCCCCCAGCCCCTGGCAGCTGTGAGGGAGAGTTCTATGCGCACCCCGATCTGGCCATCCTCGCCAGCGGCCCCGCCTCCGGGAAGCCCCCAGGGCTGCTCCGGGCCCTCAGCACCTTCCCCAGGAGCAGGGACGGCCTGGGTCTGCCTTTCCCGGTCGGAGCGCTGAGGGCTGGAGGTTAAGCCACCCCAGCCGGGCGATGCCACCTGCTGCCCGTGAGGCAGGTCTGGGACCAAAGGGGCATGGCACCAGCCTGGCAGAGCCGGGACAGCACATGGGGCGGGTACTGGTGGGTGTGTGGCCAGGGAGGCCTGGAGGGACACTGCCCCTGGGGACCACTCCCAGGTCTGTGAGCTTCTCCCCAACTCCCCACCCACCCCCTCCTGGAGCACCCTCCGGGGTCACTGAGCCAGGAGCCCTGCCGCTCCAGGGCCACGCCCGGGCTTCGCCCTCTATGCCCGTCCCTCCATCCAGACCCCCTGGCTTCCTGCGGACACATTGTCTCCGGCCATCTCTGGGGAAGGTGGCCGCCCGTGGTCTCCTGCCTGGGAGACCCTGTGGCACCGCCCACCTGGTCCTCACCCGTCCCTATCCAGCGGGAGGTGAGCCCCAGGGCCTCCCCCGAACCCCACAGCACGGCCTGAGGCCCACTCCCACCGAGCTGGGGGCCTGGGGGCAGCGGGCCCCCGCCCGGCGGCCACCACGGTGCTGCAGGCCCCCGCCCCCGCGGATCTCCCCAGCGCAGCGGCCGGGCCCCAGGAGGGGACTCGGAGGCCACAGGCCGGTCGGGTGGGTCTGCCGGCTGCCCAGGAAGGCGCCTCACGGGGCTTCACCTCCCAGGACCTGACCCCCGGTCCCGGCCCTCAGAAGTGGGGTTCCCACGCCTCCCCCTCCTTCCGCTGAGCGAGCTCCCGGGGCTGAGGAGGCCGGGCTGGGGGACTGGTTGCTCAGAAAGCCGCGCAGGCAGCTCACCGGGCGGTCTGCCCCGTGTCACGCTCCGGGACCTGCCCCCGGCTGCTAGCGGGGACCGCGGTGGGGCTTTTAGGGCTGAGCAGCCAGCGGGTGGGGCGCCGGGGCTGGGCGGGGTGGCCTGGGCCGGTGAGGCAGGTGTTGGGGTCACCACAGGAGGCAGAGGGGCCTCAGCGAGTGGGGTGGTCAACGTCCCTCTCCTACGTCTTCCGGAGGCAAGTCCCCAGCCCGTCCCCGCCCCGGACCCCGCTCCCGGGGGAGGTCCGGCCGCGGCTGGGCGCCCTCCCTGAGGTGCTCCCCTCTCCTCGCTCCTCTCCTGGGTCCAGGGGGCCTGTCCCTCCTCCGATCGCACCCGGGGTTTCCTGCGGCTCCTGCTGCTGGGATGCTGCTCCCCGACGTGTCAAAGGTCACCTCCTCCAGGAGGCCTCCGGGGTCCCCAGCTCCGGGCAGGACCCCGCCCCGGCTCTCCCACCGGCCCCCAGGGGCTGACTGGCTTCCCGGGTGCCGGGGCCTGGAGACCTCACCCCAGGCTGGTCCCCCCCGCAGCCCGGATGCCAGGCCCCGGGGGCACCCCCTCCCCGCAGGTGGGGAAAGCGTGGCCCGCTGCGAACACAGAGGTCCTGGGGGAGCCCCTTCCCCCCAGGAGCCCGCCCCAGTCGCTCCGGCTCCAGGCCGGACCGAGCCCAAGCGCTCCCGGAGGGTGGGCTGCTCGCGGATGACGTCACCGGCGCCCGGCCCGCGCCCCCCGCCCCGCCGCCCCTCCCCGCCCATGGGCCGCGGAGCCGGGTGTGCGCGGTCCGGCTCCGGGAGCCGCGCGGTGGGGGCCCCGCCCCCAGGCCCCAGGCCCCAGGCCCCAGGCCCCGTACCTCGCCCGGAGCGCGGCGGGCGGGCGCGGCGGCGCGGGCCCAGGCGGCCGCAGGTGAGCCAGGCGGCGGCGCAGAGCAGCAGCAGCAGCAGCAGCAGCTTGGCCCGGCGGCGGAGCTTCTTCACCGGCAGCCGCGGCATCGCCCCCGCCGCCCCGCCGCCCTCAGCGCCGCGCCCGCCGGCCCCGCATGGCCCTGTCCGCCCGGCCCCGGCCCGCGCCCCCGCCCGCGGCGGCGGCCCGCGCCCCCTCCGCGCCGGGCTCCGGACCCCACGGCCGGCCGCTCCGCCGGGCATCCACGCTGCGGGCCCCGCCCGCCTGCGCGGCGCCGGCCAATGGGGCGCCGGCGGCCCCAGCGCAGCCAATCCCGGCGCGGGGAGCGGGCGGGGGCGGGGCCAGGCCGTGCGGCGTCTCCACGCAACGTCCACCGCAGCCACCGGGCTCCGGGCGCGGCGCGGGGGCGCAGGGGCGCGGGATCCCGGGTGCGGAGCGGGGGGGGGGGGGGGGGGGGCTCGGGACGAGGGGCTGGAGGGTCAGAGGTGCAGGTGCAGGGGGGCGGGGGATGGGGATGGGGACCTGCAGGTGGGCGGGGGTGCGGTGGTGCCGGGGGCGGGGATCCGGGGTGCGGAGCGAGGGGGGTGCGGGACGAGAGGCTGGGGGGTCAGAGGTGCAGGGTGGCGGGGGTGCGGGGATGCGGGGGGGATGGGGGATAGGGGATGGGGAGATGCAGGTGGGGCGGGGGGTGTGGTGGGTCGGGGGGTGCGGGACAGGGAACCGGTCGGAGGAAAGCCAGGGAGAGGTGCGGGGAGGGGAGGGAGGGTGGGGATGGGGAGGTGCGGTGAGGTGGGGGTTGGATGGGGGTGGGAGTGGGAGTGCGGGACGAGAACCTGGTCGGAGGAGGTGCGACCGGCGCCCCTGGGCAGGGAATGATGCTCTGAGGACGCGGGGCGGTTAGGGCAGGGACACGGAGAGGGGACACCTGGAGGGGACACAGTGCGGCACCGGTGGAGATGGAACCGGTGGAGGATGGATCCGAGCGCGGTGCGGGCTGGGGGGGCAGTGAGCGCCAAGGGAGCAGGCAGGGGTTCGCGGGGAGTGGACACGGAGAGGGGACATAGGACGGCACCGGGGCGGGGAAGGATGGATCCGGTGGGGGATGGAGGATGGATCCAGGGGAGATGGATCCGGTGGGGGATGGACCCTGTGGGGGATGGACCCGGTAGGGGATGGTCCCGGGGGAGGATGGACCCGGTGGGGGATGGACCCGGTGGGGGATGGACCCAGTGGATCCGGTGGAGGATGGATCCGGTGGGGGATGGATCCGGTGGGGGATGGATCCAGTGGAGATGGATCCGGTGGAGGATGGACCCGGCGCGGTGCAGGCTGGGGGGCAGTGAGCGCCAGGGAGCAGGCGGGGGCGCGGGGCTCGGTGGGGGTCGGGGAGGAAGGCGGGAGGTGTGCAGGGCGGTGTCCAGGTGAAGGAGGGCGGGAGTTGGGGGTGGGTCAGCGATGGAGATGCAGGGGGCTGGTGGAGGGAGGATGAGGAGCCACCAGGGGACCCGATGGGGGGGGCAGGGTTGGGGGGAGGGGCGGCCGGCAGAGGGGCAGGACCCCTGGGAGGAACTGGGACCTCTGGCTCGGAGGTCGGCGCTCAGCCACGGAGTCCCCGGCCGGACTTTTCTGATGTGTGTGCAGGGGTTGGGGTGAAGCCACAAACAGCGCGGAGGCCGCAGACGTTGGTGACACGGCTCCCACGGCGTCAGCAAACCCAGAAACTGCTGGTTCTGACCGGGGTCAACCTGGGGTCACAGCCTGACTGCGGAGCGGGCGGGCCCAGCGCCTCTAGTGGCTGCCACTGAACCCCGCCCCCATGTCCCGGAGGGGGGCAGACACCGGGCTGCAGGCAGCAGGGAAGGCGGTCTCGGGGAAGGCGGCCTCGGGCAGTGGGGTCCATGCCCAGGACAACAGCCAGGACCCTGCTCGCCAGGCTGGTGAGTGGGCACAGCCCTCAGGGCAGGTCCAACCCCGCTTCCCGTGTCACAGGGACAGCGGAGCCGCGTGGGGAGCACCTGTGGCCGTGTTTGGGGTGTGGTCACAGGCCCTCAGAAAGGAAGCTGAGGGTCACAGGTGCGACCTGCACCCCCCCGGACCCGAGATCTGAGACAGGCGCCTGGAGCGTGTGGGATGACAGGAGCAGGCGTGGTCCCTGCCGTCAGGTCCGCCCGGGGACAGCGGCCAGTGTGTGACCGTGAGGCCAGTGAGGTCAGGTTCCGTCTGCGGAGGGTTCCCGTGTCCTGGCTGCAGGGTCAGACTCAGAGCCAACAGCTGCCCACACCCAGCCTGCCTGCCCCAGGCTCTTCCCTCTGTGCCCGCCCTGGGCAGCCCCCGGCCTCTGCACAGCCCCCCCTGCCGGGTCCCCTCACAGCTCACACAGCACACACCTGTGCTCCCCTCACAGCTCACACAGCACACGCCGGTGCTCCCCTCACAGCTCACAGCACACGCCTGTGCTCCCCTCACAGCTCACACAACACACGCCTGTGCTCCCTCACAGCTCACAGCACACGCCTGTGCTCCCCTCACAGCTCACAGCACACACCTGTGCTCCCCTCACAGCTCACACAACACACGCCTGTGCTCCCCTCACAGCTCACAGCACACACCTGTGCTCCCCTCACAGCTCACACAGCACACGCCTGTGCTCCCCTCACAGCTCACACCGCACACGCCTGTGCTCCCCTCACAGCTCACACAGCACACGCCTGTGCTCCCCTCACAGCTCACAGCACACGCCTGTGCTCCCCTCACAGCTCACACAGCACACGCCTGTGCTCCCCCCTCACAGCACACCCCGGTGCTCCCCTCACAGCTCACAGCACACGCCTGTGCTCCCCTCACAGCTCACACAACACACGCCTGTGCTCCCTCACAGCTCACAGCACACGCCTGTGCTCCCCTCACAGCTCACAGCACACACCTGTGCTCCCCTCACAGCTCACACAACACACGCCTGTGCTCCCCTCACAGCTCACAGCACACACCTGTGCTCCCCTCACAGCTCACAGCACACGCCTGTGCTCCCCTCACAGCTCACAGCACACGCCTGTGCTCCCCTTACAGCTCACACAGCACACGCCGGTGCCCCCCTCACAGCTCACACCGCACACGCCTGTGCTCCCCTCACAGCTCACACAGCACACGCCTGTGCTCCCCTCACAGCTCACAGCACACGCCTGTGCTCCCCTCACAGCTCACACAGCACACGCCTGTGCTCCCCCCTCACAGCACACCCCGGTGCTCCCCTCACAGCTCACAGCACACGCCTGTGCTCCCCTCACAGCTCACACAACACACGCCTGTGCTCCCTCACAGCTCACAGCACACGCCTGTGCTCCCCTCACAGCTCACAGCACACACCTGTGCTCCCCTCACAGCTCACACAACACACGCCTGTGCTCCCCTCACAGCTCACAGCACACACCTGTGCTCCCCTCACAGCTCACAGCACACGCCTGTGCTCCCCTCACAGCACACGCCTGTGCTCCCCTCACAGCTCACAGCACACGCCTGTGCTCCCCTTACAGCTCACACAGCACACGCCGGTGCCCCCCTCACAGCTCACACAGCACACGCCTGTGCTCCCCTCACAGCTCACACAGCCACGCCTGTGCTCCCCTCACAGCTCACACAGCACACGCCTGTGCTCCCCTCACAGCTCACACAGCACACACCTGTGCTCCCCTCACAGCTCACACAGCACACACCTGTGCTCCCCTCACATCTCACACAGCACACGCCGGTGCTCCCCCCTCACAGCTCACACAACACACGCCGGTGCTCCCCTCACAGCTCACAGCACACGCCTGTGCTCCCCTCACAGCACACGCCTGTGCTCCCCTCACAGCTCACAGCACACGCCTGTGCTCCCCTCACAGCTCACAGCACACGCCGGTGCTCCCCTCACAGCTCACACAGCACACACCTGTGCTCCCCTCACAGCTCACACAGCACATGCCTGTGCTCCCCTCACAGCTCACAGCACACGCCTGTGCTCCCCTCACAGCTCACACAGCACACGCCTGTGCTCCCCTCACAGCTCACAGCACACGCCGGTGCTCCCCTCACAGCTCACAGCACACGCCTGTGCTCCCCTCACAGCTCACACAACACACGCCTGTGCTCCCCTCACAGCTCACAGCACACGCCTGTGCTCCCCTCACAGCTCACACAGCACACGCCTGTGCTCCCCTCACAGCTCACAGCACACGCCTGTGCTCCCCTCACAGCTCACACAGCACACGCCTGTGCTCCCCCCTCACAGCACACGCCGGTGCCCCCCTCACAGCTCACAGCACACGCCTGTGCTCCCCCCTCACAGCACACGCCTGTGCTCCCCTCACAGCTCACAGCACACGCCTGTGCTCCCCTCACAGCTCACACAGCCACGCCTGTGCTCCCCTCACAGTTCACACAGCACACGCCTGTGCTCCCCTCACAGCTCACACCGCACACGCCTGTGCTCCCCTCACAGCTCACACAGCACACGCCTGTGCTCCCCTCACAGCTCACACAGCACACGCCTGTGCCCCCCTCACAGCTCACGCCTGGCCCCCTCAGACTCTGAGGCCCGGGGGCTGCTCTCTCCGGTGCCCTGTGGGCTCCTCGGGTGGCCTGGGCCTTCCTGCCGCCGTCCCCGCCTCCTCTTGGGGGGCGGGCTCAGAGAGCTGCCCAGGCTGCCCTGCCCAGCTCCTGTGCATCCGCTCTGCCGCAGCTCTGAAATTGGGGTCTTTGGGGGCGTCCTGCAGTGTCGGGGGGTCTTTGGGGGGGCGTCCTGCAGTGTCGGGGGGTCTTTGGGGGCGTCCTGCAGTGTTCGGGGGGTCTTTGGGGGCATCCTGCAGTGTCGGGGGGTCTTTGGGGGTGTCCTGCAGTGTCGAGGGGTCTTTGGGGGTGTCCAGTGTTGGGGGTCTTTGGGGGGCATCCTGCAGTGTCGGGGGGTCTTTGGGGATGTCAGTGTTGGGAGATCTTTGGGGGGCGTCCTGCAGTGTTGGGGGGTCTTTGGGGGCGTCCTGCTGTGTCGGGGGGTCTTTGGGGGGCATCCTGCAGTGTCAGGGGTCTTTGGGGAGCATCCTGCAGTGTCGGGGGA